GGATGGTGGGGAAACGAGGGGAGAGGGAGGGGGAGGGGGAGGGGGAGAAGGAGGAGTACGATCCGAGGAAGAGGGATCCGCAGTGGGCGCATGCGGGTGCTTCGCCGCTTTGGGAGCTGGTTCGTGCATTTCCCTCTTCAATCAACTTGGTTTGGATTGTATGCTGATATACGCACTGTCACAGACCCCGCTGCTGAACCACTTCCACCCCGCAATATCCCTCCTCGCCACCCAGCTCCTCTCCGGCACACCCCTCACATCATCGCCGGACCTCTCCCTGCACACCCTCACGCACTTCCTCGACCGCTTCGTGTACAAGAACCCGAAAAAGACCAGGCCCAAGGGCGACAGCGCGATGCAGCCCGCCGCGGCCGCGTTGAACGACGGCGGGCTGGGGGTGCGGAAGCTGAAGGGCGATCTGCAGGAGGCGCCGGTTAACGAGGAGGGGTGGTGGAAGAGGGGCAGTGTGCCGGTCGATCAGGTGTTCTTTCAGAAGTATTTTGAGAGGAGGAGTGAGAGGGAGGGGGAGAGGAAGGGGAAGGTTGAGAAGAGGAAGGGGAAGAAGGGAGGGGATGCGGAAAGTGATGATGATGAGGAGGATGGAGAGGAAGAAGATGTGGATGTGGATAATGTTGAGGAGAGCGATGAGGAGGAGGCGGAGATTTGGAAGGTTCGTTCTGTTCTTTGCTGCTCTTGAATTTAGAAGTTGCTCATGATCATCTCAGGCTATGAAAGCGTCGATGCCGAAAGAAGCCGGCGACGACGATATGGACGCCATGTCGGACATCGACGACGATCTGCCAGACGACTTGCCATCTGACTTTGGAGGGGATAGCGATGACGACGACGATATACCCGCCGTCGACGAAGACGCAGACTCCGACGCAGCCTCAGCCGCAGACGAGAATGATGACGAGAACAAAGATGAAGCGGCTTCGGACGACGATGACGCCTTCTCCCTCGCCGAAGACTCCGACGCCGACGACCTCCTCGACCTCGACGCCGACGTCCCGCTCGGGCTCATCCACTACGACGGGCCAGACGCCGGACAAGCCGAGGCCGAAGAGGAGTGGGGCGGCTTCGGCGGCGACGATGGGGGTGCGGCGGGCAAGAAGAGGAAGAGGAAGGAGGAGGACAAGCAGAGGAGGAAGAAGTTGCGGTCGTTGCCTACGTTCGCGAGTTATGAGGATTATGCAAAGTTGATTGAGGATGGGCCTGAGGATGATATTTAGCTGTTTTGTACCACTCTGTTTGCTGTATGTTCATGCTTTGAAGTCTTTACTGCAGGTTTTCTTGGGTCGGCGCGATGTTCGCTGCCACCGTGCGGATTCGGTCTGCACACACCGTCTTGCTATCTACCGGAGGGTCACACCGAACCCACTCCGAGCATGACGCTCGCCGTTCTGCTCATCCATCCATCTGCAGCCTTCTCTCGCAGTGCGCACCATCCTGCACCGTCCACATCTTGCATCGGCGGCGTCCCTCGATTTCT